GCAGAGCGTGGGCCCCCCCGTGCAGGCTCCAGCATCCTCTGCCGTGCCCCGAGCTCCACCAGGAAAAACCCTCCCACAGGATGTCCTCAGAACGTGGTACTTCTCCAGGTTGTTAAAATCCTATTATTTTATTGCTGTGATTGGATTAAAATGCTGATTTAAAGCGTCCGACCACACCACCCCACTCAGGACCCTTCCTCCCCAGCGGGAAGGATGTTTCCAGCACAGGGATGTTCTCAGGATCCCACCAAGATGGGAAAAGCCCAGGTGGCTCCGTCACCGGTGCCCCGGGGTCACTCTGAGCCCTGTCAAACTCAGTGCACGGATGGGGCACCCCCAGCAGCCGCAAGATCCCAAATCCAGCCTTTCCCCCGACCCACGAGGAAGAACAAGAGGTGCTTGTGAAACGCTCCTGCGTTTTCCAGCAGGAAAATGTGTTTTGAAATCCATCTAATTCCTTCTTGCACCCAATGGCCACCATCGCCCCGAGCTCTGGGGGGGACACGGGGTCCCCAACGTGGGGTTTTTATCCATGTAGTGGGGGGTTTTATCCACGTAGGGGGCTGGAAACCAGCTCCAGCAACCCAAGGGCTGGCAGCTCATCCTGCCTCTGCTCACCCTTTGCCTGGTTTTTGATGCCAAATTGAATTTAATACAATAAAAAAAGGTATTTATGGGATTAATTACCCCCCCCCCGACGGAGGTGGCCCATGGATGCCACACGTTGGGATCCGGCCGACCTCCTCCCGTGGTGGATTTGGCTCCTGGAGGGTGGACATCGCCCTGGTCCCACCCTGTCCCTCCATCCAGCTTCTCTAATCATCCTGTGCTTTCCAGGAGAGGCAACCAGTGTCACGAGCGGTGTCAGTGCTCTACAGTGCACACACACACACACACACACACGAATTCACACCCCAAAACCACGGCGTTTTCCTTTTTTCTTAAAATAAATACCATGAAATATCAAGCGAGTTGGTTATGATCTCATTTGGGCCTGGAGGTCCCCTCCCCAGGCAGCCCCCAGGCTCTTTTCGGGTGCCCCCCAGGGTCTGTGCCCACCCTGTCACCAGGATGGGGACAGTTTTAGGGGGGACACAGAGTGGGGACAACCTGGCAGCAGGAGATCCGTTGGGTACGAGCAGAGTCTCTCCTTCCGGGGATATCATTTGGTCACAAAGCAATTTTGGGGGGAATCAAACACGGGATGGTCCATGGGCATGTTTTTTCCCTCCGATCTCATCAGTTCTAATTGGGAGAATAAATGAGACCTTTCCTTCAAGATAATTACACAAAACATTGAATTAAATCAGTGTTAAGATTATTTCTTTTTCCCTCCGCCGCCCGCGTCAGGCGCCTGTTGGTTGAAAGAACCGTCCGAGGAACACTCGCCCTGCGGCTCTCGCTGACCATGGCAACACCGCTTGATAAATCAGAGAAAAATAGCCAAAAAAGGGATCTTTTGTCCCAAAAATGTCTCATCATACACACCACGATCCAAAATCCCCGTTGCCTGGGCTCTACGGGGCGCTCTGTGCCCACCACCTGGCGTGGCTGGGCACCGGGAGGTGACCCCGGCACCCGCCGTGTCGTTAGGAGGGTTTTGGGACAAACCAGCCCCGAAGCAGGACCCCGGGCTGGAGAGCGGGGGGGGCCCGCAGAGACCGCGCCGGCTCATCGCACCTCTGGCCGGGCCGCTTTAAGGAGAGCGGTGGGCGTGGTCGACCCGAAGGGAGGCGTGGCCGAGCGAGGGGACGGGGCTTCCCGCGTGACGCCGCTGGCGGCCGGGCCGGGCCGGGCCGGGCCGAAGAGGGCCGGGAGGAGCCGAGCGGGGCCGAAGCGGGGCCGAAGCGGTTCGGGATGCAGCGGGCGGCGGCGCGGGCGCTGCGCGGGG